ATACGTATTCGATCGTTGTTTTATCGATGTGAATCATATCTGTAACTTTTTCAACGGAAGAAAATGCTACATGCTCGAATGCATAACGCCAGCAACCATTATCGTACTTTATAATTAACACTATTCAATCGATACTGCCTGTAACTAAAGGAACAAATAGAAACAGAGTATAAAAATAGAATAGGGATAGCGGTAAATTACAGCTATAATGAAAGCTGCAACGAAGAAAATAACACTGTCTCGGTCGATAACAAGTCTATGTATCTACCCTTTCCTTGTGCATTTTTTTTTAAATAATCTCATTTTACTAACAAGTAAAAATTTGTCATTCTTCGGCCGATCTTTTCTTCGTATCAAAGTTACTAGGAGATAATGAAAAAAATTCATCGAATCACGAACGATTAACGGAAAAAAAAAATAGATCATTGTGGTAGTCAGTATTTCAAGACAGAAGAAATACGACAATAGAAGTAAAAGACAATGCAAAACTCGTCTGCAGCATAGGAATGTGAGCTGACCAGTACTTGTACCTAACTCGTGCTCTTTTCATTCTTGATCCTTTTCTGGTCAATGGTCACCTCTTTATCGCTAATTTACCATGAATTACCCGCGTGATTCACTATCTCAAACCGTTTAGATGCGTTCTTGTGTAGGCGAACCCACTGTAGCATACTTCGGTCAAAGAAACGCCGGAATAAACGAGAAGAAATTTGTCATTGTTAGTAGCCTTTATTTCACCGCGAACTAACACGACGAAGACTAAATTCTACACTCGAAATATTCCGATCATGTGTATTTCTATTTACCTTTTTATCGTATCCTGCGTAATGGAATAATTATTCGCTGCCACACACCTCGTGGAGAAGTTTATACAAGTAAATAACTTATTTGCTAACACGATCGATGGATAAATGTGAAGTTCAAAGTAAACAAAGTTCAGTATGCGACAAAGTCCAAGTAACCGACTAGTCCCATCAAGTACAAATATTCAGAGTCTGTTCTTAACCTTTTAACAATAATAGTAATAATTCTTCTTAACTGAATACGTTTTGTATTAGGTCGGTGCAAATATGAAACGTTGCTTTTTACAAATGAAACTTCCAGATACATTGCATTTCTCCAAAAACTAATGTATATAGCAGGGGTGGCCAGCTACACTACCTTTGGAAGCCACATTTCAGGAAGGAATATTTGAAAGAGCCACTTATTTATCGTTGATAACAAAACAAACAATGAGAAACTGAAAAGAATGAAATGAAATAATTACTCTTGGACATCGAGCAGTTCTAGTTTACCATATTTCATGCATACATTTTATTTGCATAAGAGCCGCACCACCCGCCTGCGAGAGCCGCACGCGGCTCGCGAACCGCGCTATGGCCACCCCTGGTATATGAGATTCTCTGAATTTTCCTCAAATTTCAAACGTACAGAATATTGCGTCAAAGCGATATATCGAAATTCGAACACCTGGCGAAGTTATAGCGATGGATAGAGAGGCGGATCGTGTCAGATAGGAAGGCTTCACGGATCGGATTTGAAAGGGAGAGCAAAATCGAACAAAGCTTTGAAGGACTACGTCCACGAAAATTATTTCCCACAAGTTGCTCGAAGTGCGATTCGTCCGGTTTGCGAGGACCTCAGTTTGGGCGAGTTTTTAAAATGACGTGAAGGTGGATTTGTGTAACATAACGAGTGCTTGAATTCTGTAACTATGTTCTGCGTGAAAAATACATATAAAGCTGCTAGCACATTCAGTCACGGCTACAATAAAATTTGATTAACGATGCAAATGATGCATCTGAATATTGGACCAAATGTTTACAAGTTGTGTTAAATAACGAACGAGACCATAACACACGACACACAGTATATACGAAGTGCTATCAAAAAGAAACCGGACTGGTTTGATAAAAGATTTATTAATCAACCAACCTAAATTTGGCTTCCGTTCCCGTCGATTTGAAAAAATAATTTGAAACATGATTTCGATTATTCGATCGGATTTTATCAACCCAGTCCGGTTTCTTTTTGATAGCACCTCGTATGTTTAACTCTTTACACTCCAAAATTTCTTTAATACAATAACTCCGCGTTACTTTAAGTGTTTTATCTGAAGTATACTTGAAAGGACAGTTTGTTGATAGGAAGCAGTGTGAACAATTGCTTCATTACACGTATATAACCCTTTTCTCTGACAATTAAACTTTTTCGTTGCAAAAAAGGATCATATATTTACATGTAATGTTGCTTAATTAAATAAAAAAATATTGCAAAATGCAACACATATTTTAACCAGCAATTTAAAAATGTCAAGTGTGACTCGACGCACAAGTACCTGCGAGTAGAACTGACGTCGAGTCACACCCTACAAAGGAGTACAAAGGGTTAACCCTTTAGTTTGCCTTTATTTCGACATTTCAGCGTAACATCGATTACAAAATATTCGCTCTCAGTACAACATTAAGACACAAAATAATGGTCCATCATCGTTTCTAATTTACAATTCACCATCGTACGATATCAGAAGGCAAAAATTCCAAGTCTGGCTCGACACAAAACCGCAAAGGGTCGATAATATTCCGAGTCGCTTCTATCCAACGAGAAAGTAACAACAAAACACAATCTCGAGCGCGGTTCCTCGAAGCAACACCGAAGCGGCAACTGTTTCAGGTAAAGTCAATAAGAGAGCCGCGTTGGCGTTGCAAAAGCCCATGGGTCCTCGCACAAGTCGGTTAAAAAAAATGAAACTCCGGCACGAGCCTCAAAGATGGCTTCGCAACTGGTAGAGCACGACCTTCCAGCATGACCTTGGTGCTCACCTGTCAAGCACCTTACTCTAACACGGCTTACGGTAACGCGCTCCATTTCCCTACGGCCGTACGTAGGTATATACGTACGTACGTACGGGTCTCGGGTAAAAGAGAGCGGTGCTGACCTTCGCGTTCACCTTTCCGCGAGCGGCAGCCGGTGTGGTGCGTTCGTTTCTCGATCCGCGGGCTCGATGTACCGTTTCGAGCCGCGTTTTATTCCTCTAATTGCCGAGAGTTCGCGTACGACCGCGTGCCGCGCTAATGACTCACCGGCAAGCCGAAAGGGAACCGGACACACGCGTTCGAGCGGGCGCGTATACAACACACCACGCGGGGAGAGACCCGACCGGTTAGAAAGTGCTCCGATACCATATTGGCAGATTTTAGCGAGATCGAAAATCTCGGTTACGCATGGTGAGGCAGGCTTAATTACGGGTTAGACCGCCGACGGGGTCCAGGGCCGATTTGTCCGCGTGCGGCTACGTCCGTTTTTATTCCACGCGGAATAGAGGAGTATCGAGCGGAGGAGAAAGTGCGGAACTATCTGCCTAGATGGTGGAAAAATCTGATAACCTGTAAAATCCGGCGCGCTTTCCCTGTGGTTCGAAGAAACCGGAAATAAATAAATCGGGGATTAATGGTGAGGCTGAGGAGCATTCGACGAGGAAGTGATATTAGGTCGTGTTTGCATACAACTTCTCTTTCGTTTGCTTTTTTTTTTTGTAGATAGAAAGAACAGTACGGTGGAACAACCGTATAACACGGGATACGTTCCGCGTTGTACGAATCCGTGTTACACGAGTCACATAAACGCCGGTGATTATGAAAGTGGCCTAAGTCGTATATCTTTCGTTTAGGGATATTTAGAATTTTCCTTTGGGGTGTATTTTAACATATTTCTTCGTTATGTAATAAAATACTTTGCAAAATACTTGCTCTTATAATATCACTCTTTTCTATGAAAAGATCGAGACATTATAATTCAAGTTTTAAAGATTAATAAAAAATCTAAATAGTATAGAGTATAGTAAGATTATGTATGCATTTGGAAATGCATATTTATGAAAGGCGTAAGGATTAATCATAAATATTCAAGCTAAGCAAAATATTTTTTAGTTCGCTTTAAAACAACCAAATATTAAAAGTAAAAGAAGCAGTTACCGACACAAGTCACTGGCACTTTATTCATATTTATTCTATAATTTTAATTCTTCCAAGATTTCCGCCAAAAGGACGATGGTCCTGTATTTCATTATTGCAGCGGTAAACCTTGTCTAACCTAACCGTTGGTTCCTTACAGTATCCTAACCATAAAACAATTACCATATAATATAACGTACCATCAGTTACGAGAACTTTGCTACTTTGTGAAAATGGAAACTTATGTACCACGTTATACGAACACTGTCGCATTTTTGCGTCGTGTTAATCGAATCTGCGTGTAGTATCGCGCGGGTGGCCAAGAAAAGGGCATCTATTGTGCGATTGTAGCGTTGGCCAAGGCGTGTTTAGGCTAAGAGTTAGGTTCGAGCTACGAGAGATCTGTTTAGTTTTAAGAAACTGCGAGTGTAGTGTGTGCGTGTGAAAGCGCAGGGCGAAATGCGCATTTTTTCCTTGGGAAAGTCAGTTCCAGAGAAACCGTTCGAGGGGAAACTGACCTGCGAGGTGCGGTCAGAGTGTATTCCAAGTGCTTGTATATACCGATATGCGGCGTCCCGATTCTTGTATCTGAGCCCACCGCCGCAGATGTGCGGTGCGTGTTCTTTATTAGTTTATGATAACGTATTGCAACAAATTTGGAAGTGAACAGTATTGTTGAGCTGAAAACAATAAAACAGATGTAGGATGTCTTTGGTCTGGAGATAATTACTTTGCTTATTTGGAATGTTACAAATATATCCTAAAAAGACCCATGCCAATTTAAGGACATATTCTAATAAAAAACACCCTGGGCTGTGGTGCAGGAGTTTCTTCTCAGACCTTGGTAGCGAACGCGTTAAATAAATTTTATTTCTATTAAATATAGGGATACGAGTTTATGGTAAAGCCATTTTAAGGTTACGTTCTGTAGTGTTTCGTGAACGCATATACGAGTCTATCGTTCTCAAAGGGTTCACGAACACGCAGATAACAGCGAGTATAAGAATGATTCTAAGTGAAGGAGAAATTGGAAAATAGTGAACGTACCCGTCGCCGTCAAGAGTAATGGCAGTGTCGGCCAGAACTCGAAGTACAAGACCAACGGTCGCCCTGGCGTGACAATCGATACCGAGAAGGCAACTCTCTTCGGCATCCTGCCTTCCCGTGCAGGATACGACGACCAGGTATCTCGTCCTTCCTGGATGCACCGACTCCAATTTCACCGCCTGAAATCAGAACGGACAGTTTTTTCGTTACGAACAGATAATTAGATTTCTACTCAACAGTCATGCACCGAATGATTGTGCACGCTCTCGGGTAATTTTCGCTGATTATTTAGTGCCTCGCTTATAATTAAATTACACATTCATTATCGTTTTCGATTGTTTGTTTCACAAGTGTAATGTGAAAACTGAGCTGAAATATTTGATTTACGAGAGTCGTTCGAGAAGTAAAGAGACAAATGGCTGTTTGTTTTAACGTGGTTTATTCGATTTCAACAAAATTCCCTGTTACAATTATACACTTGTGCAGGAACCTAGGGAAAAATATTGAGGGACCCAACGGGAATCGAACCCGGGACCTTCGGCTTAGCAAGCCGAGGCTTTGCGCGCTACGCCAACCACTCCCTCTCTATTCTCCCTTGTCGGTTTCCTATTTGGGTATAGAGGCCCCGATACTACACTTGTTTTCCATGTATAAATGTTCTATTGGCATTTTTATACCAGAGCAAAGAATTCTTTATCTCGAAGTACGAGACAGTTTTGATACTGTCAAACTTGAATGCACGAAAGGGGCGTTAAGTAAATCGTTCAACTTAATTTTTCCTAATTCTTTGTATGTACACTGAAATTTTTTTATAATTCATAATAAAATATTTAAATTTTACAATAAAAATTTAAATACAATTTTTGTATGTATACTGAAATTGCTGTCAAACAGCTGTTTTAAATTGATTATACCAACTTATGATTTAGGAAGTATCGTGCTTTTTACTTAGGTACTTTTTGAACTACAGTTCTTTGTCTCTTTACTTATCAAGTACCCCCCGTATATCTAATTGATCATTTACAAAGACTAAAATTGACTATTTCTTATCTGTTACATTGATTTGTTATCAAATTAATTGCCTGTTCAAATATTAATCATAAATTTATATCATTTGCACGCTTACAGATAAAAACTGGGTGAACACCATATAACTTATTTATATTACAATATTTTCTACGATATCTATGTATTTATACAATCATTTATTGTAGTTCCTAATATAAACTTAGGAACCCTGTCTAATTTATACTTTGCATTAATTAATACATAATTCATATATATTTATAAATTCATACAATTAGGTATTTATAGATTTATAAATACTATGGAATTGTAAAGATTCATTTCTGGAGGATACTTTACGATCAGATGTAGTAAATGTTAAACACTCGAACAGATTTGTGTTAAGCAACTAGTGATTAGAAGAGTGAACTATTGGAAAAAGCCAGAAAAGCAAAGAACGTCGAACTATAGTTAAACAATACTAAACGCAAATAAAACATTCTTTCTTAAATTTCAATAATTATTTGTCATAAATATTATTGTATACTAATACGATAATCTTTGTGAATAAATGTGCTTTTCTTTTGTGTTGTTAGGGAGCGTTCGTGATTAAAATCTCGAGGTACAGATCTTCATAAAAAAACAAAAATTGCAAGATTAAATTAACGTGAAATTTCGCATACTTTTAAAACAGCACGAAAACAGAAAAAAAAATTCGGTATACGAGTGTTCTCAATAAAGTAAAATTATCCAAATAGTATTTTTTTATAGGTACATTTGTTCAAATTATAAATATATTAGATAAAAATCGAGCTTCTTCCTGACAAAAAAAAATGTTAATTTCAAAATTTCGGAGATTCCCAGAAATGATTACATTTCTCGATATTCAATTGCAAGTATAAACAGTTCTTCTAAACGTTCTATGTCACCATTTAAAATTACCATCTTCCAGTGTGCGTTTAGAATAAGAGCAAAGATAGCGCAAAAGTATAGAATAAACTACGAAGCAGTACGCAAATAATCCTGAAAAATGTTTCTCTTAAAATGCTTAAAACTCTCGCTAAACAGCCACAATCTGAATTTATTTAAAGCGACCGGTATATTCGTTATCGATAATATTCGTAACAACCGATCAACGTTATGTAAACGAACATACTTAAATCGTTCAACAACATACATTTACCTTATCTAGATTTTAGAAAGCATTCTTTCTAAATGGTAATTTCACTGAAAAACGTTACAAACAAAATTTGCAACGGTGTTCCGCGGTATTTAAAACGTTTCAATTTCCTAGCGACTTTTATAAAATCATTTTTACCAAAAGTAAAATATAAAACGATAGTGAAAGTAGCCGGAGTTGAACTTCCTCCGTATCAAACCGACCTACAAACGTACGAAAGACATCATCGTATCCGCTGAACCATAGTTCCACCGTAACAACACTAGTACCGTTTGAAATTATCCACGGCGGGATAAAATGCAATATTTAGGCTCAATGAAGGGTAAAAAGGAAACAGAGAGAAAGTGGGCAATAAAGACGTCGCGAGATTCTGATCGGATCTCGTACACTTCACCAGGAGATCTCTATCGCGAAGTCGTTTCGAGACGCGAAACAGAAGTTGCCTCGAGGTTAATGACACCGCGGGGAAGAGCAGTTGCACAACTGTAACGTTCCTGCTGTTTCTA